AACATACCGTAAAATAGAGTGCTCTGTTTGCAAACTCATGCATTTGGGAGGACTTTTACAAATATGGCATACTTATTCATTTTGGGGAAGAGATAACATTTGAGAGCACTATAAAAGCAAATGTGTTTTTGGTAAGAATAGTGCATTGTCCCCTCCCTCCTATAAGTCAGATTTAAATAAAGTAATATGAATTTTTTAAATACTTTGTTTCATTTTTAATCAAAAGCTTTAGAAAAGGTCTAGTTTTAATTGATTCATTGTTGTCTTTTTTTGAGAGGAGTCTTAAGTATATATTTCATTATGATGTAGTTCAGTAGTGCATGTTAGTCCATAGTTTAGATCATCGTTTAGTTTTCTTCAAGCTCTTATTGACAATTTGTCTTTTTTTCGTGTACGGTTTAAAGTAGAATCCAAATTACAATTTATGGGAAATTATGTAAAATAATTCACTTCAGGGCATTTCCTATATTCTACCAGTTTATTGAGCTGTACCAAGCAACTACATCTGTACTTATGGTACCAGGATTTCCAGGAAGTGTGGTTATCCTTCTTTGATACTTAAGTGAAACTATAGTTGCAGTGTACATCATGATCTCAGTCTCAAATAAAAGTTGCAGAGAAGGCAAGGTGAAGGAATTGACATTGCCTTGGCACTTGTGCCCCTTTCCACCCCCTAATACCCTCAATAGTGTGTGTGAGGGTATACTATTTATAATGCACAGAACCAGTTGACTGCATCATAAAGATTTATAATTGTTGGTTCTGGAAATCTTTAAGAAACAGATACTAAAGAGGTATATTAATTCTATATGAGCATATTAAGTACCATAGTCAATAGCCAAGAGTGATTAAATATAACCTTTCCTTTCTAGCAGTATTATCCAAAACTACTCCATCTGTTTGAAAGCTTCTCTTGGTTAATTAAAAGAAACAGTTCTGAATTTCTAAATCACTGTGGATATTTGACATCTCAGGTTCCATATGTTTAAAACCCAACTTGCAGTTTTTTCTGCTAAACTACATCTTCCCCCGATCTCTGTATTCCTCTTAGTGGAAGTACTATTATTTTAAACCTCAAAACTTTTCTTGATTCCCTTTTCTGCCTCTATGTCAGATTTAAACCCTTATTTAGCATTTTCTTTGATTCCTTTCCTCAGCTTCAACCTTCACATACACTCTGTCACTAAGTCTTATTGATTCTTTCTTTGCTATGTAATCTCGTTATATTTGTTTCCACCATTACCACCTTAGTTTAGCTCTAATTACTTTTATATTGTGAAATACGTATAACATAAAAGTTACCATTTTAACCATTTAAAAGTGTACAGTTTAGTGGTATCAAGTGCATTAACAATGCTGTATAATCATCACTATTACCTTTTTTTGTCATCCCAAACAGAACTTTTTTGTCATCCCAAACAGAAGCTCTTTACCCATTAGGTAGTCACTCCTTATTTCCTCCTCCCCCCGAGCCCCTGACAACCACGAGTCTGCTTTCTGTTTCTAAGAATTTGCCTTTTCTGGATATTTCATATAAATTGACTCATACAATATGTTGTCTTTTGTGTCTGGCTTCTTTTACGTAGCATATGTTTTCAGGATTCATCCAGGTTGTAGCATGTATCAGTATTTCATGGCTTTTTAAGGCTGGATAATATTCCATTGTGTGCATATACCACATTTTCTTTATCCATTTATCCGTTGATGGACTTTTGAGTGTTTCTACCTTTTGGATTTTGTGACTCATGCTGTATGAACATTTGTGTACAAGTTTTTGTTTGGACAACTGTTTTCAATTCTTTCGAGTGTATACCTAGGAATAGAATTGCTGGCTCACATGGTAATTCTATTTAACATATTGCCCTTACAAATTTTCAGACCAGTATTTCCCAAAGTGTGGGACAACGCTAGGGGACTCACTGATAACAACATTTAATATCAATTAATTATTCTCTTTTTAACTGCAGTTAAATCATGGAGAGTCTCACTTTGCTATTAGTATGGCTTTCAAACATCTCACCAACTATGTAAATCTCCCTTTTAACAAATACAGGGCAAGCTTGATGGTTAGAACCTTTGGCATATAATAATATCTAGCTTAAATTTAGTATTTTTTATTACATTGCCTTTTACTGTTACATTTTATTTCTATAGCAAGTGATATTGATTTCCAATGTACAGTAGTGAAAGTTTGCTTTTTATGTAGATGCATGCAAAAAAAGAGATGGTACACATTTGCAAAACAAAGATTGATCAGAAATACAGTTTAAAAATTATAATGATATGAAAATGACTTGAAGTTTGGGAAATACACACCTGAGCTATGGCAACATATTCCCTTTTTCATTTCCAATCAACCTTTCCCATTTCCAATCAACCTTCTGTGCCATTCCCAGAATAATTTAGAATAACTTGAGTAGGATCATTCTCCTATTCACATTTATAAATCCCTATTTTATAGAGAGTAAAATTTAAGGTTGTTTAGCTGGACGTTTGATGTCCTTCATCCGTCACTCCCACCAAGCCAACCTAATTATTATTATTTTTTAACCTACCTTATACTTTCCTACCACTGCATATTCTCATGTCATTTACTCCTCAGCTGTAAGTTCCTTTCCCCTTAATTTCTGTGGCCATTCAGTCATCCATGCTCAAATATTTATTGAGGTTCTAATATGTGCTGGGCATTGTCCTATGGGCTAGAACTACTGTGGCTTTCTTACTGAGCTTACACTTGTGGGAGAGCAGATACTAAGCACAATTCTTTAGTGACGGTTGCAATAAATAGTGTGATGGAAAAGTAGACAGTGTTATGAATACCTAATCTAGTTGAGATTAAAGGCATGATTTCAAAGATGACCTCTTGGAGAAAATGTCATTTAAACTGAGATCTAAGTGACTAGTAGATATTAGCTTAGTGAAAAAATGGACAGAGGGAGTAGTAGTACTGAGGTAGGAATGTACAATGTTAATTCATATGTTTATTTTGTCATGAAGAAATTTAAGTATATGTTGTCTTCTCAATAATAATGTACTGGTCAAAAAATAATGTACTGGTCTATACATTATGTAAAAAAGTTATCATGTAGCCCTAATTCAATGAATTTTTATTTTTAAAGATACTCTAAAAAATCACTGTAAATATTCAAATATTAGATCTAAGTTTTGAAACTATTCAGGGAATTTATATAGAAGTCCCATCTCTACATAGAACTTTATGTAGGTTTATGATATATATAACATCTGTTTATACTATGTATTATATATCATGTTTATACTATATATATTTAATTTATACTATGTATTATATACCATGTGTTTATACTATATATGTTTATATTATGTATAAATAAGTGATATATAGGTTATATAGATTTATATACAAGTCCCCCAGATGACATTTTGGCTTCTCATTGTTGCTCGTAGGCACCAGTCAAAAAGCCAGTCAGTAAGAGGCCTTAGGTTCCAGGCAGCCTTCCTCTGTTAGTTACTTTCCTGTCAGTTCTCTGATCTGCTTTATGTTTAGCTCTTTGATGTCAATGGGAAGGATACACAAAAGATACACTAAAATTGTTCTTTTTTTTTCAAATAAACAGAAAAACCTTTTTTTTTGGTAATATGTAACGAATATTTTTATTTTTCAAATGTATAGGTATCTATAAACTGCTGTATCAGCGAGGGTTTTTGGTTACATGCAGAGAAACCAACTCTGGCTAGCTTCAGCAGAAAGGGAATGTAATTGCTAGTTGAAGAATCCAAAGAAAGACTGAAGAATCAGGCTTGGAAAATGGACAAAAACCTAAGAGAGCTAGGGGGCAGGGAGGATTAGCCAAAGTCATGGTACAGGAGCATGTGTTAGGAAGCTACTACTATATGACTTACACTGATACTACTGTCACTTTAAATAATTTTCTTACTGATAGCATCTTTGTGATGGTAGCTGGAGTTCAAAGTCTAGGTTGGATATGGCCTGCCTGATACCTTGTTCTGGCTGCCAGGAAGGATTTCCTTCCTGTGGCCATCTCCCTTTTGGTCTCCTACCAAGACTCACATAATAGGGATTTGCCCAAGTAAGAAGGGGGTTTGGACTCAGGAAGACTCGTTTAAAAAAGGGACAGTTTTTCCTTCACAACTACCCATTAAAGCAGGGATTCCCAAACCCCAGGCCACAGGCCAAGCCGCACCGCAGACCAGATGCTTCATCTGTATTTGCAGCCGCTCCCCAGCGCTAGCATCACCGCCTCAGCTCCACCTCAGATCATCAGGCATTAGATTCTCATAGGAGCACCAATCCCCAAAAAGGTTGGGAACAGCTGTATTAAAGTACCTTTCTAAACAATTCTGTGTGATGACAGGTAACTATACTTCTCGAAATATAGGGTGAAATTGTTAAAGGCATCTCAAATTTTCGGAAAACAAAAATTTTAAGAATGGTTATGGTAATTTATTAGAGAAAAATGATGTTGATTCTTTTCATAGTAAAACTATCTTAGATATCCCTAAATTATATAATATAGGCATGACTTAAAATATTAGATTATGTATCTTCCTAAGAAAAAGAATCACAGAAAGTAAAGGTGATTGCCAGATATGCACATATATTTATTTTTCAACATTTTCTTCAGTAGACAAAAACATTTTACATTTAAAATGAGTCAGATATTGCTATAATTTATAAGAATAGATCAAAACAAAATTTTACACAGTAAATACACATAACCTAATTGCTTCAAAACATCTCAGTGAAAAAAATCTTAAATTAAGACCAGAGCTGCTAATTTAATTGTAAGATATTTGGAGTCTTACCAGTTTCCTTTACCTTATATATATTTTTTTAAATGCCTGCAGCACCTGGTCTTCCTAGGTGGTCTCCCATCCAAGTACTAACCAGGCCTGACCCTGCTTAGCTTCCGAGATCAGATGAGATTGGGCACGTTCAAGGTGGCATCGCCGTAGACTTATAATTTTTTTCATAGTACATTTCATGAATTACAGCCTTTTTATAAAACAAAATGAGATATAAGAATTTTTTTCTTATATATTTGCTATCTAATTTGGGGGAAAAGAAATGTAGATTTGCATTAAAATTATATGGAGAATGTTTATTATATACATGGATGCTTTTAACTCAGGAGATCTTGACTCCAGTAATGTCTCCGTTATAACTGTAGATTGTAATATGGAATATAGATCAAGTAACAGCAGGTAACTTATAGAGACAGAAATACTTTTATAGTCACAGCAGAATAGTTATAAGCATCGAATCTTCTACAAGTTTCCCTAACCTACAAATGCATGAATGTACATTGCAACAGGCAGGAGAAAGTCAGTTGCTTATTACAGAATTCTTATAATTTCAGTAGTCACAGTTAAACTTGTTCTGAGTTTTCAAATCCTCTTTTCCAGGATTTCAGATGTTTTTATATTTTAAAAAATTCATTCTTTCAGCTTTCTGTAATGAGAAAACAAAAGTTTTATAAACTTGGGCTATTCTCATTTCTCAGTGATTGAGAGTTGACATGTAAAAACATAGCAAGAAAGGAAAACTGATTATAACCAAACACCCCTTATCAGAACATTTCACACAAAATCATAGAATCTTTCTGCAGTTGTCTATTTTTTTCAAAAGATCTCTCTCGGATAAAACCATTATAAGATGGAAGTAATCTGTTAACCTACCTTGATTATAATGTTCGCTTGCTTCGATCTGGGATTTAGGCATCTTTGACCTTTATGTGTTTTCAGGATGATACTGTTAAGGGAAATCCATAACAGTCTTAAATTTTGGATGGAAGAGCATAAACAAACAAAACCCCCCCACAAAAATGTCTCCATCATTGTCATCTTTAGTAAGTCCATTACTTACATCACTTCTATTTTGTCACAGTTGTTACTTGGGTAAATTACAGAGACTTTCTCAATATTTGCCACTTTCACTGCTTTTACTCCAGGGCCTATGCAAAGACAACGTCCCCCTTTGAACATTGGGAAGCCTAGAACAGATCAAGGCATAAATTATTTTTATTTATTTATTTATTTTTAGGCAAGGCAACCCGTGGTTGACCTCACAGATTGCAAGGACCTTGTCAGTTTACAATCCCTTATTTTTAAAATTTTTCACGCCTACAGTACCTGGTCTTCCTAGCTGGTCTCCCATCCAAGTACTAACCAGGCCCAACCCTGCTTAGCTTCCGAGATCAGATGGGATTGGGCTTGTTTAGGGTGGCGTGGCCATAGACTCATTGCATAAGTTATTAATAAATCTGATTGCAACAGATGGCTATGGTTTATAATTCTGATGAAGAATGTGAGCTGAGTTTTCATTAAGGATAAAGATAGTAATTTGTTGAATAGCATTTGACACTGCTGTTATTGGGAAAAGAGCTTAAGTAAAATGTTGGTGATTTTCTTCTTAAATTTGTAAGCAAACCTTTAAAGAAAAAAAGAAAACATGAAAAGTTTATTGGAGATCAAGCTTATTTGCCTCTTGCTTTTATGCTCAGGAATTTTTTTTAGGAAGTTAGTAACATTATTTCATAAAAATCTTAACATATTTTAAAGTTATTACTGAAGGATTTTGCCAGATTTTATAGCCAAATAAAAAATTCCATGTAGTTTATCATCTCTAGTTTCAATAATCATCACTAGTGCCTTAAACATTTCTAGCATTCTCTGCCAAAGCTATAGTAACTTCTAATATGTGAGGTTAAATAAAAACTTAGTATATATTTTAAAATAAAAGTAGAAGAAAAGACATTTGAAGAATTAGAAAAGAAATTTATAGGCTGAGAAGTAAACAATACCATATACCTTGAGCAATTGTAGCACAGAATATCACAGCCAAGACTATAACCATGCCTTTCACGCTCATCTTGGAGACAGTTGAAATGCTGAAAGTGATAGGGAATTCTTAACTGGTATATATAGAGCATTTGATATGCCACCAATCCTCTCATGGCAACAGGAATTTCCCTCCATGAGTCATACTCCTTTTTCCCAAGAGTTTCTGTTTTGTTCTTAACATCACTGTGCCTTCCTATTTGATACAGTATCAAAAGTAATGCTGATAAGAAAGCACTTTTTACTATATACAGAGTAAAGAGCTATATATATAATAGGATATACCCTATATATAGAATAGGATATACCCAAATGGGAACCAGCCGCCTTAAGGCTTATCTAATTATTGCACTAGCCTGGAATTTTTTTTAGGAAGTTAGTAACATTATTTCATAATGTTAAACATGCAAAAAGGAATTTAAATGTAGGATATATCTCAATAAATATGTAGTTTCAGGATAAAATATAAAAATAATTCTCAAAAGAAAAGTTGAATAATGTAAAATAATGCCTTAAGGCTTATCTAATTATTGCACTAGCCTGGGCAGTGGAATTCAGATTGCCATTCATTCTTTCATTCAGGAAGATTGTCTTCCTGTTTTCAGTCTTTTCACCTTCCACATAACTATGCAAAAGAACATTCTTAAAAAATTCAGTTTTTATCATTTTAGTTTTGCTTTTAAGTCCAAACTCTAATCATTTATACAAGTCCTATGTTATGACATTAAACAACTTTTATTTAACCTTATTTATATTTTTGCCAACCATACTACTTGTCTAAAGAAGTCTCCTTATATACTTTTGAATTTATATCCATTTCTTTTTGCATGTTTAACTGTTTTTACTTTATATATATATTTTAGCACTATTTAATATGTATAGTTGTATGATCTGTGGATTTTTAAAAAATGACCCTTTTTTCTCTCTCATGTGATGTTTTTACATCTTAGATTCTAATTTTATGTAACTCCTGTTATCTTTTTATGTTTACCTTTTCCTCTTTAGCTTTCTAATCTTTTTGTTTTAAATGTGTCACACTTAAAAAATCATACCCAAGGGATTTTTTTATGGATAAATTTACTGTATAATAAGCTTTTAAAATGCTTTCTTGCTATTTCTTTTCTGTCTGTTTTCTTTGGTTTCTTCTTAACTTTAAATATATTTTCTTTAGCACTTATGTGATTCGAAAGTAATACATGGTTTTACATTTTGCTAGTAATCTTTTAAAAATTTTTACCTGTATCTCTAATTATTTACATCAACTAGAATTGTATCTTCTCATTTCTCCCTTTGTAAGGTGAGAAAATCACTGTAACTTTCTTTCAGACATCTATTCCTGTTTCCTAGTTTTGTTAGTATAATCAGGGATTTATAGCTAGTTTGCTTTTTTCAGATTATTATTTTACATTATTCAACTTTTCTTTTGAGAATTATTTTTATATTTTATCCTGAAACTACATATTTATTTAGATATATCCTACATTTAAATTCCTTTAACAACCACTACCAGTTTTTAAAACCTCTTAGCCCTTGTTTTAATTAATCTCAAGATAGCTGGAATATTTTTTCTCTGTTTCTCATTCATTCAACATGTCATTCAAGACTAATTTTTCCACAGGAAAATGGTTAAAGTAAAATGAGTATGTGCTTGGATCTCATAATTTCTTATCCTTTATTTTCTCTTAATGTTGCTTTTCATTTTCTTAGCACTAGAAACACAGTAGAGCATCGTTAACAGGGAGGGCTCTGAATCAAGCCTATGTTAAAATCCACGTTCTGTTGTTTAGTAATTGTGTAGTCCTGAGTAAGTTACCACAACATGTTGAGCCTCAGTTTTCTCATCTGTGGTTAATATAGTCTATTACAATATTTATAATATAACATATATTGATAATATATTTATATTACATAGATAATATAAATGGGGATAATGTATTTTTTTCATGGGACCATTATAAGCTAAGTATTTTAAAAAGTAATATATATAAATTGTTTAGAAGAGTGCCTGGCACTCAAAAAGTGTTAGCTGCTATTATTGTCTCTAATACGTTATGGTGTTCTTTCCTAAAACTGACATATCACACCTAACTTATTTTAGGGTATTTTTCAGCATTAGCACAAGCATAAGCACTTAGTAAAAGATTGGATGATATTGTTATAAGATATGAAAAATATTTTAAATTGTAATAGTTGTGAATGTAAAAGTAACATTCTAATCATGGAAATGACTTACACAAGTCCAGTGTATAAATGTAATAGCGTGGTTCACAAAATATAGACAAAGAATAATGAATATATTTTTTTACCACCTAAATTTGTATAGCTTTGGTGTAAGGGAATCTCTTAAACAGTGATTTTTTTCCCTTTTTATTATTACTTTTTTTATTATGGTGACATTGGTTAACGAAATCCAGTAAGTTTCAACTGTAAAATTCAACAATAAGTCATATATATTTTGCATTGTGTGTTCACTGCCTATAGTTAGATTTCTTTCTGTCACCACATATTTGACCCCTTTTACCTTATCTATGCCCCACCCCCCACCCGACCTTCTGGTAACCACAAGTTTATTGTCCATGTCCATGAGTCTCTGTCCAATTTGTTGCTTTTAGGTTTATATCCCATATATAAGTGACATCATGTGGTTTTTAACTTTTTCTGTCTGGCTTATTTTGCTTAGCATGATTATCTCAAGGTCCACCATATTGTCGCAAATGGCAGTCTTACATCTCTTCTTATGGCTGAGTAATACTCCATATATATATATATATGTACCACAGCTTCTTTATCCAATCATCTATTTTAGGACACTTTGTTTTTTTCCCTGTTTCGGCCACTATAAATAATGCTGCTGTGAACATCAGTGTGCAAATATCTTTTCAGCTATGAGTTTTCAAGTCTTCAGAGTAAATACCCAGTAGAGGGATTGCTGGATCATATGGTAGATCAATTCTTATGTTTTTGAGGAACTTCCATACTGTTACCAGTTTCCCGTCCCACCTGCAGTGTATAAGGGTTCCTTTTTCTCTACATCCTCTACAACGTTTGTTATTATTTGTCCTGTTGATAACACCTATTCTAGCAGATGTGATATGGTATCTCATTGTGGTTTTGGTTTGCATTTCCCTAATAGCTAGCAAAATTGAGCATCCTTTCATATATTTGTTGGCTTAAACAGTGATTCTTGATTAATTTTTTTCTTTTCACATCAGACGGGTAATGTCCTAATGTCGTAACAAGGTTTGAGGGGGGCACATCTCACACAACAGCACAAACACCTAATCATCACAATTATGAACTACAAAAGGTACTCTTGATTAATTTTTTAAAAAGAAGAAGAAACCCCTGGAAATTGACATTCTTAAAATTTTTATGCATAAACTAAGACTTGATTAATATTCTGTATTATACTATTTCAAATAGGCATAATTCAAATTTTCATATAACATGAACAAACTTTCAACCTTTGGACTTCATGTGTGAATTACTCTTTTGTTGAGTAGAAAACTCATGAATCAGAATTTTCTTCTTCAAAACTGTGTGTGTTTTATTGTCTTTTATTACTACAATTGATAGTGCATAATATTGTGAAAACATCAGGAACTAGTTTTTCCTCCCCTTTACATACACACACACATTTTTCAAGTGACAATTTTCAAAGCAGACTATGCCAGATCTCTAATTTTTGTGTGTCAGGGTGTATTTCTAAATATTCTAGGAGGAAATAGGGGAGAAGGCAGGGAGAAGGGGAAAAAAACCCGTCTTCTTGAGAGGAAGACCACCCAGTAGTCTATAGGGAGGGTGCTACTGCTGCTGGTATATGACCCCAGAAGAGAGGGCTCTATACCCCTGTGGATGGAGCCTTGTCTGTTTTCCTTTGAGGTGAATTGCAGTTTGGATGCTAAGGAAGGTTTATTTAATTCTTCACTTCAAGTCCAGGTAATAGGTCCAAAATTATGCAGGGTTGAGAGAGGAATTGGTTTTGTGTTTTAACATTTTCACCTCATTTTCTTGAACAATACAAAAGAATGAGCCTGATAGGTTCTCGCAGGTGCTTATGTGGATGCTCTCTCCTTTAACACTCACTCCCTTCCTGTTTACTCTCCTTTCCTCTGGTGTCCCTGCCTTAAAGTTTACTGAAAAGCACCACTCCTTTGTACAATAGTTCTTTTGCTCATTCATTCATTTAACAAATATTTATTTTAGGTGTGTCTTGCATGCCTGGCACTCTTGAATTTTGAAGATAGAGCAGTGAACAAAACCAAGTTCCTTTTTACTGCAAATTTGCAGCTTTCTAATTAGTTGTAGGATATGGTCTGCCTGATTTCTGCTGTCTCTGTAGATATGTGTCTTCAGGACTATGACTTGTTCTGGACTAAATACTTTCTAATATCACATGAGGAGGATGAATTTTTTTCAGAAAATCCCCTCATCCAGTGAGCTTGAGAAGTCCCTCTTCTTTCTATTCATGTAATATGGTTCTTCTAGCATGAGATGTACTTTTCAGAATCCTTTCCTTCTTTTAAGTTGTGCTACCTTCATGAAGCCTTCTTCAGTATATAGTGATTTCTTCTGCTGCTGGCTTTATAGCACTAAATGTCTTGTCTAGCTTCATCTGGTAGAAATATAATGTGAGCCACATGTTTAATTTTATCCTAGTAGCTACATTTAAAAAGTAAAAAGAAACAAGTGAAATTAATTTTAAGAATATATTTTATTTAATCTAAAACATGAAAAAATACCATTTCAGTGTGTAATCAATTTAAAAACATTAAATGAAATTTTTTTTTTTTTTTAATATTAAGTCTTCAGATTGGACAAACCACATTTCAAATGCTCAGTAGGCACATAGTTAGTGGCTAGCATATCGGACAGTGCAGATCTAATTATTATTTGAAATTTAGTATATTATGCTGCCTTGATTAATTTGAATGGGGATGGAAAGGAGCGATACTGTGCTTTTTGTTTTGCTTTGTTTTAGAAACTTTTTAAGTCTTTCTAGTCCTTTTGTTCTTTCTTTCTTCACTAAGTCATTATATCTTGTTCTTTTTGAGTAAGAAGGAGAAAGGTTAAATTGCATTCTTTGTCTTTGTAGTATTCCCCTCCCCCCTGCTTTTTGTTTCTGGAATTGGACTATTCCAGGTTCACCCACTCAACAGAGAATCCCAGGAAATTAATCTAGTTTCTATAATTAATCATCAAAGACCCTTCTAGCTTAAACTCTATATAACCTGTCATTCACCTGAAGTTTTAGTTATAATCCCAAATTATCCAATTAATATAGATTTTAAAAATGTTTTCAAGTGGGAAGAGATTCATGTAAGACATTTAAAGATTTAATTCTCAACTCACCATTCACTAAGTCTCTGAAAAATTTATTACCTGCCAAACAGAATTATCAAGGATATTTTGTCCAGTTAAATTAGTGAAAAGTGGGTTAGAAATGGAAACAAATATTTCTATTTATCATCAATAAGTATAATGTAACAGAATCCTGGTTTTTTGTATTTTTTTCTAGAAGACAAATGACTCACTCCTGGGGAAGAAGTTGGCACACATGTGCTAGGCACCTAAAATAATATGAATAAACTGAACAGATTGAGGTAGAATCCTTAGCTCTAAGAACTACAGAACTATAGTACCTAATACTCTTTTATAAAGGGATTAAGGCATTTAGGAAGCTTTCAGTGGATTTTTTTTTGCTTGTTTTTCAGGAATCCTTAAAGGAATACCACTCCTAGGATTTTCTTGTAACATTATTTAAATACCCTTCCCAGAAATCAGACAGATCCTGCAGGATATATACAAGACAGTCATTGGGCATTGGGCAAAGCTATATTTTCTTCCAAAGACTTGGAAGAGGTTAGTATAAAAACAATTTTAAAAAATCATTAGGGCGTTATGGAATGTTGCATTTTTTATTGCAATTTGAAAACATCCCAAAGAGAATGAATTCTGAATAAGGTGGTTTCTGAGCCTATACTTGATCCCTTACTGGGACTTTGACATAAGAAGACATTTGCAGAAACTGATCCCTGCTAATGCAATCTGGTATTTGAGAATGAGATGTACCAAGGCTCACATTTCCTAAGAATGACTTCATCCATGATATGTGCTACCACAAACATTGCAGTCTCAAGTGCAAGCACAAAACAAGGGCCAATTTTCAGTGGCCACCATCATCATACTGACCTTCTCATGCTTGAAAAAGCCACTGCCAGGCAATGTACCTTTCCTTTCCTTATGAGAATGACAGAAGGAATGAAATCAGAACCTTGGCACACCTTGTATAAAAGATTACTGAACTCTGTACCAAATTTATGATGTTAAAGAAGAGATAGATATCTGTACTCTGAAAGATGAGCACAAAGAGAAGACATGCTTTCAGCTTCCAGTGATTAAAGAGTTGAAAATTAGTTAACTGACAGTTTAATTTGCTTTGTTTTTTAACTATGCGTGTTCATGCTGATCAGATACAGGTTATCTGTATCTTGTTTCTGGAGTTAGATAGTTTCCCATTATCTTAATTAAATTTATTGCAAAAGAGAGGGTTTTCTGGAATAACTTGAACTACAGTTCTTTCATTTTCTTGGAAATTAGTTAAGATTTTGTTATATAGTTCCTTTTCTGAAAAGAAAACTTAATGTTACCTTTTTGGAAAGAGTTATCAGAAACAATTATTACATTTTTAACCTGGCAAAACAGTTTATAAGTATTATTTGTTTAATAATTTATATTAAATTTATTTGCCTTAGAATGTTACTTTTTGCCAAATTCAGTGCCAAATGGTTTTTGTTAGAGTATAATTAACAAATGTCAAAGAGAAGCTACTTGATTTTTTTTTTCAGAATAATTCAGAAGGAAAAAAAGAAACCATGGATTTGAAACTGAATTGCTTTTCTTTAGAATTTTAGGTAAAATTAAAAAACTTTTATATATCAAAATTTAGAACACAGCAGAAGAAACAATCAAGTTCTATGACTTCACTGAATAGATGTAATCCTCTTTTCAGTGTCCTCTATACTCTTTACAGAACATTTGCTGTCATTTGCATGTATTTGAGCCAGGAGCAGTGGGTTGTACAAAACAGTTTCAGCATCACCATAAACTTCGGAGATGTTTTTCTCACAACAAAGGCAGCTCTGTGCATGGCCTTAAGTTGGCTGCCTGGAAAATGACTGCAGTCGACAACTGGCAGGTCAACGAGGATGTTAATGTTAATTTTCCACGTTGGGAAACAAAATGCCTATTGTTAGGGGATAAAAACATGTGCGAGATTAGCAGTGAACAACTTTATAAACAACTAATTGAAGGAAGCTTGATTCAATAAGAGAAAATTGTACAGTAGCTTCACTTATTGTTAGTTTATTACCTCTGCTACTCAGAAGCTGGAAGAGAGGGTAAAATAGATCTGGCCAATATTATTTCAAGGCTAGTTAGAATAATGCACAAAAGGATCTTGCCTGAAGAGATGTGTCCTGCATGTGAATGTTAGAGGAGCTATGTATGTAAGGTACGAAGCTGCATTGGATTTATTTGTATGTATTTTTTAACTAGGGTAAGTAAAATGTCCACTTATAAGGGCCATTTCAGTACACAGGTCTTGCCAGTATGAATTAAGGGTTAACTAAATGTAAGGTTTTAAATAGGACATATAGTCAAGAATGTGGAAAAAAAGGATTGGGTTTTTTTTGTTGTTAGAAATATGTTATTTCTTATATTATCTTGAAATTTAGAATAAATGACTTTTGGATTCGAAACAGGAACAACTCTTATTTATTTTTTTATATGTCTTTTCTGGCTTTATTGAAATATAATAGACAATTAGTTTCTCGTATTTACATTGTATAATTCAATGAGTTTTTTTCGATTATAATTGGCATACAATAATATATTACTTTCAGTTGTACAGCAACATGATTAGAGATCTGTATAACTCACAAAGTGGTCACCCCAGTATATCTAGGACCCTTTTTCCCCCTTATATATTTATTACAATGTTGTTAACTGTTTTCCTTATGCTACACTTTACATTTCTGTGTCTATTTTGTAACTATCCAGTTGTGCTTCTTAATCTCTTTGCCCTTTTTCACCGACCCCTCCCAAACCCCCTCCCATCTAGTAGCCCTCAAAATATTCTCTGTATCTATGAGTTTGTTTCCATTTGTTGTTGTTGTTGTTTACTTTGTTCTTTAGATTTCACATGTATGTGAAATCATGTGGTATTTATTTCTTTATCTGACTTAACTTCATTCAGTGCAATACTCTCTAGGTCCATCAAGGCAATATCTTTTTCCATCCTCTTCCTTT